GTAGTACTGGTTTTTCTAGGCGGTAAGTTTCACATAACCACATGTATGTATACAGGTGGTACTTGTAAATGCATTTCCTAACATTAAAAAAAAGGCCCTAGTCTATTTGTGTAGTAAATTTCTTCGAAATCTGTAAAGCCGTTTCAGCTTAAAGAAATACAACCCAGATAAACACATACAAATTTTGACATTTATATTGCTAGTCGGATTATTATTAGTATGGATAGAGTATGCCAGCCGCGTCGCTTATTAAGTTTGCGATGACCGCTGTTATTAACTTTACCTTGGCAAATTGTTTTTGGCCCTATTGTTATGTTGTTGGAAAGCTTTTATATACTCTGATTTAGATAGGAATCTTTGGTTTAATTAATTAGAGTAAAATAAGCTAAATAGGTAAAATAACTAGTTTTATCTTTAATCTATAATTGACGATACGTGTGGGTCAGTTTCTAATGAGCCTACTCGCTGTGCCAGCGGTCGCGTGTTCGAGTCCCGCTGGGGGCATTCATTTGTGTGATGAGCACGTATATTTGTACTGCAGTCATGGGTGTTTATATTTATGTGTGTGTATTTAAAGTTATATATGTGTAGTGTATCAACTATTTGGTATCAATAACACAAGCTTTGTAGCTTACCATGGAACTAGATGGTGCTGTGTGTTAATGTCCCAACATAAGATTTTATCCTTTTTTTTTCAAACAAATAAATAAAATAATTTATTCAAAATATGTTTCTTCCTTGGAAACTATTATATTATTATTGCATGCATTTTCATAACTTTAATTTCCACTCTAACTTTGTTCTTTGCTCTTTTGTGATGATGAGACAGTGTGACTTTTTACTTAGTTTTCTTTATTACTATAAAAGTATTATTATTTAATTATACCTACTCCGTGGAATATTATTGAAATAAATTAATTTATTATTTTTGTATATCTTGACCTAGTTTTCGTCCACGGTTCTACTCGCATAATTATTTACAGTTTCTCCGCTATTTGTGTACAGTGATGTTAGATAGCCTATAATCTTTCTTATTTATAGATTATCATATCTGACTGATAGTATCAGAGATATACAATAATAATAATTCTGCCCTTCTTCCACGGGCTCCCAATGAGAGGGAGAGATCAGGCCATAATCCATCACGTTAATCATATGAGTTTGAACCTGCTTCACGTGGTTATCGAAACGAGCGCGTTACCACTAGGAAACCACTGCTGAATAAAAAATGAACAATGATTTCATTTATATTATATTAACATGGAATTATAAATAAACTGAATTATTTCATTTACATCTACAAACTTTAAATCATCCTAGCGACTCACCCTCGCTTCGCTCGGGTTCTGCTTGCTTCCCCATACAAATTTTCATCCCCATTTTCACTCCTTTAAGGGATAATTACCGGGATAAAGTATTCTATATCCTTTCCAGGGTCTCAAACTATCTTCATACCAAATTTCATCTAAATCGGTTCAGTAGATCCGGAGATTACCCCCTACAACGTCACAAACTCACAATAAAACATATTCAAGACATGTGACGGTCAAACTTTTCAAATTATATACAAATTCGCTGGTCAACTGTCCAATAAAGTAGGTGAAAACGCATTCCTGTCCTTTCAGAAACCCTTTGACCCTGCATTGAATGTAATATAAAGGGTTACATGATTCACTTATTTCCGTAAAACTTTCTTTTTTGCTTTTCCTACAAAATCGTAGCGATGTTTCCGCTACATTGTGATATGAATAAATATGTCCCCTCACGTTAAAATCAAAATGGTGTGATTTTGTATGTTATAGTTTATAGGAAGTCAACTATTACTATATAATTTGCAGGATTATATTTTTGTTGGTTTTGTTTTTTAAGCGGAAATGGAAGAACATATCGACGGGGCTATTTGCAAACAGTTTATAAGTTATAATATAATACGTATATGTATATATATATATATATATATATATATATATATATATCGCTTAGCGACATTAAATAATATTAAGTAATAGCGGCTCAACCTCGCTTCGCTCGGGTTCGCTTTTGGAAAAACAAAACAAATCTGTCCCTCGAGAACTGTACATTTTTCCGAGATAAAAAAACCTATGTATTATTCCAGACTATAATCTATCTCTGTGCCAAATTTCATCCAGATCCGTTCAGACGTTCTGGCGTGATTCAGTAACAAACATCCATACATACTCACAAACTTTTACATTTATAAGATTTATATACTGATTATGTTTGGATAAATAATTAGTATAAGTACATTTTACCTGAAAAGCTATTGTGACTAAAATGTCTCTTTATATGTAAATTTTCAACATCAAGGGATGAAATTTATTTTTAAAACTTAACTCAGAACGGGACCAATTATAATAATCATAAAAACGTATCACAAAAAGTATTTGCAATGAAATAGGTAGCTGTTCATTTTTTCAAAAATGGCCAAACAAATCTTATTATTTCAAATATACTGTAGCTACAAGTATCTACTAGAAATACCATTTACAAAAACCCTTCACTAAATCCTTTTCAAATTATCGTTCTAAAGACGTAATAAACTATTTTTATCTATCTCAGTTAAATCCCACACTCGGTAACTCATAGGGTTCACATTGTGATATATCTTCAAAAATTTGGCAATCGAGGCGGTTTAAAGAGAATTAAAAATCAAGAGCAGGTCCATACTCCATCCCCATGATATATCGACTTGGCTTATTATTTTTGACCATTAAAATTACAAATGGCGGATTTTTTGTAGGAATTTCTGGCATCATGCCGACTCCTGTAGCCACTGTGTGATTTTATTTTGACCGTCGCACTAATAAATCAATTTTTGCATTAACTTATTCAATATATGAGCTGTTTATTGCTTTGGGAAATTGTTGTTAAACGGCTATTATATCGTACTGTTTGCCTTTCTGTTTTTCCGATAGAATTAATTTTCATGATTTACGTAAACTATTTGTTTGCGGATTGCATGTACAAGTGTCGATTAAAATGGGGTTGGGGGTGTTATGAAATAAATGTAAATAAATATGTTGGGACATTAACACACAGCACCATCTAGTTCCATGGTAAGCTATGATGCTTGTGTTATGGATACCGGATAGTTGATACACTACACATATATAACTTTAAAAACATACATATTATAAATATAAACATCTGAAGAGTGAAGAGTATCAGATATCTGATACTCTACACATAATATATAAGTTTTAAATACATATATATTATAAATATAAACACTCATGACTGGAGTAAAACATTCGTGCTCATCACACAAATGATAGTTCTTAGCGGGACTCGAACCCACGACCGCCGGCACAGCAAGTAGGGTCACAAACTGAGCCGAACGTGTCATCATTTATTGTGTGAGTGTTATTTTTTTATAATATTTTGTAACTTTGAAAGGGTGAAATTCCCTACCATTAGAGTGAAAACAATAAGACATAAAGGGAGGTAGAAGTAAATATAGCGAGCGATACAGAAATACCATTTCAAGTGAAACACTGGGTGGTGATGTTCCTCCTTGAACGTTAATCCTGGCCAAGATTGTTATAACATTTATTACATACAGTATAACTGCTGCGCTTTCGTTCTTATTAATTGGATTTTTTTTATTTATATACTAGCTAGTTATCCTAACTTTACTAGGGCACCTACGTCCCTAGGTGATTTTTGTACTTATAATATTAATCTATATATAAAATAAAATTCTAACTCAGGGAGTAAAATCTTATGAAATTCACATTATTATCGATACAGAGGAGAAATCAGTAGTTTTTAGAATTTTTGTCTGTCTGTCTGTCTGGGAACGCATCACGAGAAAACCACTGTACAGATTTTGATGAAATTTGATATGATGATTGCTAGTTATCTGGGCCAATATATATAATACTTTTTAGTGCGGGAAAATATCTCATCTTTGAGAAATCTATACTGAACGCAAAACGTCATTAGGGATGAACCCGAGAAGCGAGGTTGATTTCACAAGTTTCAAAATATCACGAGTGTCACAACCCCTGAAATTTTCGTGTGCAAATATCGTCATCGTGTGGAAACCTGTATTTATGGAAAGACCTCGGCCTCTGTATCGATATTAATATCTATTTCAAAAAGATTTTACAAAAAATTTGCATGTACGGATACAGGCTTAGTTACAATTTTATTATATGTATACATAGATGAAAACTGATAGCAAATTTATAATTTGAACCGATCGAGCCATCTTATTCTAAAATAAAGAAGCGTAAGTTACTCCTTATAATATCAGCTATCTCCCAGTGAAAATCCTGTCAAAATCGGTCCAGCCGCTTCGGAGATAAGCCGGAATAGACAGACATATAGATAGACACAAAAAAAATTAAAATAGTTTTTTCTTATCAAGTACGTACCTACTATATATATACTTAAATATGGATTTATTAAAAGCTGTTATTTTGACATTACAGACACTTGAATTTCATTTACATACATTACATTTTTTAAACTATAATTATACTTCCAAAAATATGACACCCAAATAGAGTAAAATAAAACTTTTTAATGACAAAAATAACAGTAAAATTCTGCCAAAAAACATCGCACACCATGATCATGTCACAGATGAAACCTATTTTTTGTTTGTGCAAATATATGAAAATTCAAAAAAACACAGTCGATATTTCAACGTGGAAAGTAATAAGTGCTCTCCAGGTCGTCGTACCGGAAATTAGGGCGGATACGTCACATATGTATGAATTGCAAGTGACGTTGATCCGACTGCATTGTTTGAGAGCTTTTGACTTATTTCTATAAAAGAGAATTTTTTGGCAAGCTTTTGAAACGTCGGATGCAGGGAATGTGAATTACAAAATGTTTGTTTGGGTCGTCTATCGCATTAGTGCGAGTGGGTTTGATTCTTGGGATGTGAATGTTTGTTTTGGCAAAGGGTTCTCCTTTGCTATTAGATAGAAATATAGCGTTGAACTTAAGAATAATCAGGAAATAATAATATGGAGATTGAACTAAGGTATTGAATTAGCTTGAATCCAATAGTGAACTTACATAATGATATACATTAACTTAACAAAAATACTTGATTATACAATGGAGGTCTAAATCCAAGTGCTATCATACTTATAGGTAACTAGCAGTACCCGCGGCTTCGCTCGCGCTAAAACTACAAAAAAAACTCTAAAAAAGTAGGTTCTAACAAACTTACACCCCTTATTTTACCCCTCATAGAATGAATTTTGAAAAATGCTGACACGTACTTATTAAACACGTATTTATTTTATTATATTGAAGAGCATTATTACCAGTAAATCTGATCATAAATATTTTTTGGGTTGTTTTATAACGTGTTTTCCCGTAGGAATGAGATAATCTCTCACGGTAAAAAGTAGCCTATGTCACTCTCCAGCCTTCTAACTATATCCACACAACAAATCAGGCCATTCTGTCATTCTGTTTCGACGCGAAAGAAGGACAAACAAACAAATGAACAAACAAACACACTTTCACATTTGTTATATTAGTATGGATACATAACGACATATATAAACAGTTACACGAGCAATTAAAAAATCAAAAATTAACAGTACTATAAATTATTAAAAAATATATTAAAGACACTATTACAATTACTTAAAACAAAAAAGAGAAAAGAAACCAACACGCCAAGGTCCTATCCATCTCTATACCGAAATTCATCAAAATTGTTTAAGCGGTTTAGGCATAAAAACGTAAAAGACATACAGACAGAGTTACTTTCGCATTTATAATATTAGTATGGATTGTAGTAAGACTATCAAATTTTGTTATTTCCTACCATTTTATAAGCTAAGAAGAACTTCCAGAAGACTAAAAAGATGTAGAGTTTTAAAAGGAAACATTCAATTAACTTTTGTTTATGTACATTTCATACAAAAAATATTATTTAAAATACAATATCTATACTTAATACTATAAAGAGGCCGAGTTTGTTTGAACGCACTAATCTCAGGAACTACTAATCCGATTTGAAAAATTATTTTTGAAATAAATAGCCCGTTTATTGAGGAAGTTTATAGACTATATCACGCTACTACCCAAGGGAGCGGAGCAGTAATATAATAATACTAGCGACTCACCCTTGCTTCGCTCGGGTTCGTCCCTAGGTTATGTATACAACTTTCCTATTTGAATCAGATATTATTAATTTTTTCAATGGTTTTAATTTTTTTCAACCTACTTCAAAAAGGAGGAGGTTCTCAATTCAGCTGTATTTTTTTTTGTATTTTTTTTTAATGTTTGTTACCTCAGAACTTCGTCATTTATTAACCGATTTTGACAATTTTTGTTTTGTTTGAAAGTGTATACTTCCAGATTGGTCCCATTTAAATTTCAATAAAAAATACCACTCCTAAAGGTGGAAAAATAGCTAATGATGAATTTAACCTACTTCTAATTGTCATATTGACTTGAAACTTTGCAAGTGTTTCCATTTCCGTTGATAGTACAGTGGTTCGGTATTGTTGACCTAATCTGATGGTAAGGCCAGAAGGTGGATAGGTGGAACTCTTCAACGGCTAATAGTAGATACTTTGAGTTTGGGCTTATTTTGTTTGATTTGACAAGCCTAACACGTTAGAATTCTTACTTTGCTACTACTGTCTACACTAAAAAGGGAAAAATAAAAACTTTTTAACAAAAAAAATAAAAATCGACTTCAAAAAAAAGCACTAAAATGTAAAAAATAACTGATTGGTAGTTTTCATTTACTATACATACCTAATCAAATATTTTCGAAGTCGGTGTGCTTTGCTTTGTATGGGCTGGCACCGATTTCGAAAATAGTTGATTAGGTATGTATTTAATAGGTAGGCTTTAATTACTTGTCCAAAGCACACCGACTTCGAAAATAATTGATTAGGTATGTATAGTAAATGAAAACTACCAATCAGTTATTTTTTACTTTTTAGTGCTTTTGTTTGAAGTCGGTTTTTATTTTTTTGTTAAAAAGTTTTTATTCGTGCAACCCTATTTTTTTCTAAAATAAAAGTACCCTTAGTTACTCCTTATTACATCAGCTATCTGCCAGTGAAAGTCTAGTCAAAATTGGTCCAGCCATTTCCGAGACTAGTCGGAACAAACAGACAGACAGACAAAAATTGTAAAAAATGTTGTTTTGGTATATGTATCGTGTATACATCCATATGCATTTAGTAAAAAGCTATTGTTTTGACATTACAAACAGACACTTCAATTTTATTTATCTGTATAGATATATTATATAGTCTATCTATTCCATACTAACCTTTAAAACGTACCTAAGGACGAACCCGAGCGAAGCAAGGGCGAGTAGCTAGTCGAGCAATATAATAAGAGTTTCGTTATTTTTAACGTCCATCGGATTTTTTTTTGTATAATAATTATATTTTTTGCCAGTTTGCCTCATTTTTCACACTTTTGCGTTATTTTTTTGTTGGTAACGATGTATCCTAATTGAGGGGCGCGGGTTGAACGGTATTCGTAACGTTAATGATTTGCCGTCTTTGACATTTAATGAACGTATCATGATGCAAATATTTAAAATTTTCATTTTAAAATTTTTATATTTTAGTTTGTTTATGTGTTTAGTTTTATTTGTATTAAGCACTTCTCGTAATATTCCTTTGATTTTCTCTAAAACGGATATAGAACACAAAATAAATTGACATAATAATGTTTTTTTTATGGTGTTCAGTGACAAACGAACAGACAGATCACCTGATGGAAAGCGGTACCTGTAGCCCATAACACCTACGGTTCATGCACTTAGGTTTTATGTTACAAACATACAGAACCGTAGGTGCGCTGTCGCTGTGAGGACTAAGATGATATGCCTCTTGCTACTGTATTATATATTTTACTACTTATAATTGCGCTGGCTACCTCATCCTTCAAACCGGAACACAACAATGTAATCATTGTGCTTTGGTATTTTATATGAATAGTTTAACTATTTAAAATAAATTAATTAGTAAGAATTATTATCATTACACATGTTACCTTCTATTTTCATTAAGTAATATAAAAATAGATCGGCCATAACACAATGAAATACTTGTATTAGAAGATTTTTTTTTGTATTTGGTGTCCTGGGTTTGATTCCCAGGGTTGACTCAATTCTATAAACATTTTTATAATTTTATTATATTATATATTAATTGTTTAAAGTTAAAAACTATTGTAAGGTAATTGGTACAATTTTCATTTTGTATTTGTGGGTAGGCTGTTTGTAACAACTATACCTTCGAGACATTTAACACCTCAGTCTCTCCCGTGACCATGAATGCTGTAAAGTATTCGAAACGTCGGGAACCAAAAATCAAAATAAATCCGCGTAATAATCCAAAATGATGGTTTTATTTAAAATGTCAAATATTCGCGTAAATTTAAGAAAGATAGAAGATTATGATATACAATATTTTTTGGATATCATCGATCTTGGGGCTGCTAATTGGATCATATTTTCTATTTTACCCTTTCTACAATCGATATTCCTATTAGAAAACAAAATATGAAATACGGAAAAGACGAACTCATATTAAGTACACTTAACTATTTGAAAAATGACATATCGAGTTATGTTTTCTACTCAGATTTCAGATTTGTTCTGTATTTTGAGATTTCTATTGGCTTTAACGATCTTTGTAGTTCATTTCGATTATGGTATATTGTAAATAATTTATTTTTGCATGCCTTTACAGTTGCTTCTATATACATACTTTCATCGCCATTTTCTCCCCCTTAAGGTCTTTGAATTCCCCCTTAAGATAAAAACTATTTTACGTCCTTTCCAGGCTCTCGAACTACTTTCTTACTAAATTTCCTATAAATCGATTCAGTAGCTTAGGAGCTTACACGGTAAAAACAAACAAAAAAATCTTTCCTCTTTATAATATTAGTACAGATGATATAGTATACATCTACGATACATTACCTTTGAAGAAAAAGTTTTAATTCCTATGCTTTTATAATAATTACTCAGCAAAAGTACAACAAGTTTCGATGTTTACATAATATTAGATTGGATAGGCAGTCTTAGCGCAATGGTAGCGCGCTCGTTTGGGAAACCTAATGAAACGGGTTCAAATCCCAAGTCTCGGACCTATAATATTTTCATGTGCGTATTATTACCAACATGATTACCATTTGTCTAATTTGTATAGAAGGGAGACCCGTGCCCAACAGTGGGACGTTAAAAAAAGGTTGAATACATACATACATGATGATGGTGATGATGTTCTCCTGACCGATTCCGGCCACAGCGGCCAATCTCCTTGGCTTGAGACTAGCCAACTGCGCAGGAGATATTATAGTGCACAAGTGTACGCGCAGACACAACGTGCACTCTCTATTCCTGTCACTCTCATACTCCGATGGGACGATCACTCGACACGACCGGTGAGGCGCAGGACCGACGGCTTTACGTGCTCTCCGAGGCACGGGGGTGAAACACCGCCAACTTCCCAACTCCGGGCTGTTACTGAGACTTACTATACAGAAAGACTCAATAACTAAACTAGGCCTGACCCGGGACTTGAACCCAGGACCTCCGAGTGTGCAGCCGTACATGCTAGCCACTACACCACCGAGGCAGTTAGATATATACCGTATAACTCGATACGTCACTTCAAACGTGAACAAAAAAAAACGTTCCGCGCCACTTATCGTCTACCTTGTCGCAGGACTTTGACACAATTTCTTTTTGTTACTGCATATTTCCGAGAACAAAATGACAAAGGCGATATGGCCGTGCCTAATTAGATGAAAAACACGAGTGTGTATTTTGTTTGGACACGTTAATATAGCAATAAGATATACGTACATAAATATATACATATTTTTTATAATATAGATAACGGTTAGATTTTAAATACTAATATATAATAAATGATAGATTTACGTGAATATTTGATATTTTAAATAAAATTAGTTTTTTACAGTTTTTGCGCTTACCATATTTAGGTACCTTACAGTTTGATGTGTAATGCAAAATTGTTTCTACAATTTTACAGTTCAAAATAAATTTTTAAATTCACTTTTCTTAATTATTTTAAAAATGTAAGGTACTTCAGTGCCATTTCTTTATTCTTCCAAATTAATGTATAATTAATTGTTTGTGGAAAAAAAAATGCTACTTAACAATAACAACCCATAATACAAAAATATTGAAAATATAATCAAAAGTTAAATATATTTTGTAGGCATCCATAAATTTCAAACAGAGGTAGCCCATTGGTTATCGCTCGCATGGAAAACAAAGTGATAAAGTTACAAATGGGGTCTCCCATCTCTGAGATTTACATAATATTCATCATAAGACCATATATAGTATTTTATATTGTACTATAAGTTAATATTATACTATAAAATATATAAAATACTAGCATTTCCCGCGGCTCCACCCGCGTTCAGATGACCAAAAACCAAAGTTTTAGGTTTTACATATTAGTATACTCTTACATTGCAGTTTTTGTATTTTTTCGCAGAAATGAGATATTTTCTGAAAAATTCTGCTACCATCATACCGAATTTCATTAAAATCCCTCCAGTGGTTTTTCCATGATGCGGTAACAGACAGGCAGACAAAAATTCTAAAAGTTATAGATTCAGCCTCTGTACCTATAATATCTCAATAAGATAATGCCTATTTCAATAAGATTTTCCAAAAAATATTTAATGTACAGATTCGGCTTAGTTACAATTTTATTATATATATAGACTACATATATTTAACGATATTTTGCAAGTTACTGTTTTGCGAATAAGCGTTCGTATGTTTCATAAACTAAAATGATGTGATATTCGGAATATGACAATGCATTTTCAAGAATCGTGAGATGCATTTGACGTAAGTGGGCTGTAAAATTACCAGGTTTTAATACAAAAGATATTTTTGTTTATAGCTTGTAATATATGATTTTAAATAAAATTATATTTTTCGATCTTTTTGGGAGATATTCTCCCGTAACAATGGTTGCTGTAAAGTATTCGAAAGGTCTTTAGACAAAAATTTAAATAAATTTGCGAAAATCTCCTAAATGATAGTTTTATTTAAAATATAATATCTATATAATTAATCGATACTAATTTATAAAGAGTAAAGATTTTTTGTTTGTTTGTTTGTATCGAATAGGCTTCGAAACTAAACCGATTTAGACGAAATTTGGAAAGAAGATAGTTTAAAACCCTAGGAAGGACATAGGATAGGATTTTCATCCCAGAAATCATCACTTAAGGGGGTGAAAATGGGGATGAAAGTTTGTATGGGGAAGCAACTTAAGGACAAACTCGAGCGAAACGACGGTGAGTCGCTAGTATTTTTACATACTCACTTTTCTACCGTAAGAGCACTGATAACAGTTACTCGGAATGTAAGAGAACGTAGATATTCTTTGATTCTACAACCAAATTGATTATTATTTTGCATTTTGTTTTTAAATTAAAGTTTAAAATCTAAATTAGCCATTGTTACCAGTAAGAATAAAATTTAGAAAAATATAATATTAGCCTTTTATAGGTTTAACACCTGTTTATACCTGTTGTATTTTAAAAAATACAAACTTTCAACCCCTATTTCACCGTTTTTAAGTTTAATTTTTGCAACAAAAAGCATCCTATGTCCTTTTCCAAGGTTCCATTCCTCTCTATACTAAACTTAATCAAAATGGTCCAGCGGTTTAGGTGTCAAAACGTAACAGACAGACAGATGTAGTTACTTTCACATTTATAATATTAATATGGTTACTTGTATATTTGGTGATGTGTCGTTTGGATCATCTATCATCCAGACAGACGCAGAGTTTCTTTACGCACAAATGACTTGAAGGCTAAAAATGACATTCTTGGAATTTTTGTGTAACATCCAGTCTGAGTATTACCCTTGAGTCGAGAACACGCAATTACTGTTATTAGATCATCAATATTTATACATATATTTTTTTAAAATTGGCTGCTTGTCTGTGACCATTAGGCAACCACGACCACGATTCCATTGTCGTGGTCATGGTTGGCTATCAGTGACCATTCACTGTTATCAAATATAGGTAGAGGATGCTGAGACAGTTCATGGTCACGTTTGCGCTTCTATTGGGACTATGCGCCGACTGATCTGCTAGGTGTTAATCTATCAAGTACTAGCAGTATCTGCGGCTTCGACCACGTTTAATCATCCGATCGCATCCCTTCACGGGATCACCAGCCGATAATCTGAAGATTGCCTGAAAATTTCATCATAATCATTCCACCCTTTAGAGCTTTATTGGGAACAAACCTACACATATTTTTATATATCTAAATAGATTTTTATATAGGCCATACAAAGTTTAGAGCGTTTGAAGAATAAAACTTGATTCGATGAATAATAAAATTAAAGCATTTTGGATATTAAATTACCTTATCGATTCAAGAAGCATTAGTTTAAAAAGAAAGATTGAGTATATTGGGTACATATTTTATTCGATTGCATTACTATACATAACAGGAACTCAATAATGCATAACAATTGCAATTAAATACAAAATCCAATAAGGTAAAAGTGTCAGCGCTGCCTTGAACTGTTGTATATACACGAGGAAGTCGTCATGAACGTATTTAATATATTAAGGTTAAATCACCCTTAAATGTATATGCAAAGGGATTAATATGGTTTGAACGTTTTTGTGTGTTGAATCCATTGTTAACATTAATCATTGTCACGTATTATAAAATATATATGATTGAATGTACTTATATATGTCTGTTCAAACTGGTGAGTTTGATTATATTATACCATATCCGGGATTCAGGCTCTCGTTGCTAGTTTTGAGTCTTTCAGACTAGTTCGTCCAGTGATCGAAATTATTGAATATTTGAGGAAATCATACATCTATACAGTATACATAAAAGCCACTTTTTAGTCTTTACTGCGGGAAAATATCTAATTTCTGAGAAATTTATACTGAACGTTAAAATGTACCTAAGAACGAACCCGAGCGGAGCGAGGGCGAGTCACTAGTATATAAAAATTTACCTATCCAATATAAAAAAAAAATCTCAAAAAAAATATATTGATAACACCAGAGTTTGACAGCTAGGAAACAAATAAAAAAGAAAATCAATTGACAAAGAGAAGAGGAAAAGGTTTTTGTCAACTGTTATCACTTTGCCTGTTTATATATAGACAATTGAAATAGCCTAATATCCCACGGGATTTCCATGCAATGGGATATAGAGTAGCTAAAAAATAAACAAACAATAAAAAACATAGAAATCTTTGGAACATTAACATGTAAGCACATTAATATGAAATTTTGTCGTAGACATACCTACAGCATGAATAAGGAATAATTGCTCTTAAGTAATTTTAAAGTAATAAGCTACTGGTAGCTCAGTGGTAATAGGATCGCTTGGAAAATGAAGCGAAATATACGTAGGTTCTTACCTGGTTTGGTACCTTTAATGTTTTCATTTTCAACATGAGGTAATTATACCCAACGGTGAAGTAAAACATAATAAGCCTGAATGTCTAAAATAATCTAACCATTTATTGAAATATTTGTGAGTCCGTCAACGCTCTTGGCCATCGCAGTGGACTATGACGTGATCCCCTTTAAATTGAGAGGAGGTCTGTGCCCAGCAGTGGGAAGCTAAAAAGGCCAAAAACAATTTTAAAATCCGTGTACCAACATCTAGTAACTCGAATTTTTACATTAAATACAAGACATATGTACATATATACATACATACTAGTGGCTTACCGTTGATTTCCCTCAAAGGCGACCTAGGTACCTCTTGAATTTACAACATTACGTACAGGCAGCATCACGTTTTGGCAAATATTAGTACTAACTGTAGCCTACGAGTTGATTTTATTTGATTATATGTCACCACGATTCAATAACAACGCTACGCTACACTCGCAAAATTTTCCCCAATTGTAAATAAATTGTCGTGTTTTTAAATTAGGCATACATAAATATAATAGTTATATAATATATACATATATTTAACTGTATTGCCCTATTAAAATCTTACCACATCTATAGTATGGCTGGAAGAGATCTATTTAGAAATTGATTTTTTTTAAATTTTCTAACTATATTTTATTTCCAAAGCATTTGTATATACATAACAATAAATAGTAAAAAAATACACTCACAAGTCATTTCAAGATTATTATGAAGACAGTAAGTATAAATTTTTACTTAATAAATAATTATCATAAAATGAAATGAACTCTATATTAAAATCCATTGTCCGATGTAACGGCGCATAGCAAGCGAGTTATTGACAGAAATTATTGACATATTATGTTTTATTTATGGGGCATACAATACAATGGTAATTATGATTAAAATAGATCATTGACATACATAAGAACTTTGTTGGGTTAATTTCGATGTAAATAGGTTAAGTTACATACATTTTCTAGTAAGTTTGATGATTCATACAAAATAAAACAGATTTACATTGTACATTGTATTTTTAGACTAGCGACTTACCATCGCTTCGCTAGGGTTCGTCCCTAGGTTCGT